ACTAAATCATTTCGTTTTTCACCGTCACTGAGTACTCAGTTTTCAGCTTTTTATGACCTAGTCGCATAAATGCAGAACTAATGACAGAAACGAGCACATCCATTAGTACAATGATTGGGATAAAAAGCAAGGACCATACACTGCACACTTCTGAGGGTAAATGAAAACATTTGCGTGTTTTATTTTATGGTTAATCCAAAAATGACACGTTTGATAAGTCCGATAGTATTAAGTCACTGAATTCAAACCATTTTTCCTGTTTCTCAGGAATTGTGAATCCAGATAAGACTCAATAGATTATATATATATGTTGATATTACATGGTTTTCTTACAACTTTTTATTATCTCATACATTAAATAGTAACAGCATATCAACTACAGTTAGTGAGCTGGTCAAAGGTTTCCACGCAATTTACAAACCACTTTGTTGAAACTATTTCTTCATATTTCTTCAAATCTGTTTTTTCGAAATTTCAGTACCTTAAACTAAATAATGTAGAGTTAATGGAAGTGTGACATTGTGTGCATGCATTCATGGCAAAACAATAACATGTACGAATTTATAACCAATTCTGAAGAAATAATAAAATCAAGCATCGAAATTTTTCTGTTTTGAAATCTCTAAAGGTATTAGGTTACTTATAAATGCTCTACTAATACATCTCTCTTATGGTATTATAAGTGATATAAGAAAGCGATAGTAAACTCAATTGAAGTATGCACTACTCTTATATTTGTCTTTATATAAAACTCTACAACACTATATTTCTACTTTCAGATCACATTCTCCTGTAAAGGGTGGTAAGGTAAGAGATTTCACAAGTATCACTTTAAAGATTCAGCTTTTGATACTTCGGTCTTTTAATCAGTTATTTAATCTTAGGTTTCCTTAAATTCCTTGAGTAATCAGTGAGCGTCGTAGCTGTGTGCTTCTGAAAAGATTCAAAACGGAATGAAACAGCTATCCGTTGTTCCTTGATTTCCACTGCTTTTGTAACTGATATCAATTCGTGATGAAACCAACCTTGATAAAAGACATTATATTTTAAATCCAACTTCACACTAGTTTTAACTCGGAAAGCAGTTTACAACCTGAATGTTCATTTTTCATGAAACAAGACCGAAAGTCGAAAAAACTGAATGTCTTAATAGCTATAAACGCGAGCAGTGCAGGAATGAAAACTGTAACAAAATATTATGACTTCAATTTTAATTGTTACTCTGAGCTTTCTTGATAACTTGTAAAATAAACATTTTCAGAATGCATTCATGATGAAAACTAAAATTACTTTATCAAATGGAAGATGGACAGTGATTAAAAAGACAAACAGTAATATTGACTTCAAATAAATCAGTGCTAAAATAGGAGACTCTTAAAAGAATTCAGTAAGAAAATTGACTGTTTACTTGGCGATTAGATAAAAATGGCGAAAATATATTTGTTGAAAAGTAAATAAAAACAGAAATTATGTAGAACGGAAAAAACAATAATAAAAATTGTACAACCATAAATATTCTCGAAATTTATAAGATCTTAAAAAGGGACTAGTGACTGGCACTAAGATAAAAGAAAGTATGAATCATAATAAGCAGCGATAAGATGATTTGACAAAATAGTGCAGAGAGGTTATTATAAACTGTAACCGCCAAAGAGAGTGAAAGTCAATAACCACACACCTTCAGTGTATATTCCATCATCATTGATTGAAAGTATATTGCCTCAACCAAACGTAATTAGCTACGGTTTTATCCCTTCACTAGTGGAAACAATTTGTCAATATGACTAAAGCAAGAACAACAGTTTTTGCAGAATAAAATGGTACCACCATCTATTTCGTTGGCTTTTCGTCAGCCACTTACACCCCAAAGACATTATTAAGTATATCTACAGAAATAATTTTAACATACTTGCTCAGATATCTTCATGTCTAACCTTAAAAGAACAAGGTTGAAGCGTACAATCGACGAAACAACTTCTTAATGTCCATATGTCAATTACATATTTGTATTGTGCAACAATTAAAATCACGATTCCTACTTACTCAGATTATTCAACGACGCACATACAGATAATGAATTTATTATGGAATATGAAAATGATGGAAAGTTTCATTTCCCTGACACTGCCTTGCTACGCCTAGAAGATAGTAGCTCCAGAGGTCAATTTACCGAAAGCCTGCATAGAAATGACAGTACCTACATTTTAATAGTTTTCGTTCAAATGGCTATAAACGAACACTGGTCAAACCTCTGTTTTGCTCTGAAGCGAAATTAGAGGAAGAATTTATATTTCTCAAAAACGTGTTGAAAAACAACGGTTACCCTCAAAGATTCATTAACAAATATAGAAGATCTGAAGGCTTAAATATCAAACAAATCACAGTGGGAAAATAGCCCATCTTCATTCAATTTGATTATATAGGTGAAAATGTTACAGCAACTATCAACAGAAGGCTAAGGAGGTCACTAGGCGGAGCCTCTCTTGCAGATCAACTGGTTCCCGTCTATCGAATAACTTGCTTCTTGGTGCAATCAAAAATCGACATATATCCTTCTCATGTTAACTCCAGCTGTATATACAAATTTACATGTATCTGAGAGAGCAGAAGGAGCAAGAAGGGCATACCTTCGATTTTCTGAACATGTAGCAAAACACCGACGTCTCAAAGGAAAAAATGCTTTCAACAGTCCCATTGCCAGGTATCTCCTTGACTCAGGTCATCGAGTGAACGTCGCAAGATCGTTGGAAATTATCAGTAGGCAAAAGAGATCAATTCTCCTTCAGTTTGCCGAAGCCACTTTATGTTAAAAAGAAGTGGTTATCAGTTTTTCTTTGCCCTGGTAACTGGATGTTTTCACCCTCTCTTTCATCTGGTTACGTAAGGCCAAAAGTTTCAGTTGTGTGTGATCATTATTGGGATAAAATGTTTATTATTATTAGCATTGTATGCATATACTGATTGATTTTCGTTTAAAAATGAACTATGTGCAAGTATGTTAAATTGTTTCTGTAGATATACTTAATAATGTCTTTGGGGTGTAAGCTGCTGACGAGAAGCCAACGAAATAAATGACGGTACCATTTTATTCTGCAAAAACTGTTGTTCTTGCTTTATTTAAATTCATTAAGGGGAATAAATGTATGAAATTTGTGAATACCCATGCTCTTTTCAATATAAACCACTAACTTCTTACATTTGTTGTTTACAAACTTCTTCACAGTTTGCTAAGCATAGTGTGAACAATACAGACAGTAGAAATGCATATTCACAGTATTTCTGTAGCTAATCTATGCCCTAAACGCAAATTTTAGCATATGTCTGACTAAAGTGAATAATTAATTCATAGAAGGTGTATTATAGAAGCTGCTGTGAAAAGTTCTTCGTGAGTGTATATTCTATATATTTTTATCGACTATTGGCGACAATATACTACACGGTACACTATACTTTTAACGGCCTCTTTGATATGCGAGACAAAACAATTTGTGATCGAAATAGGACTATTTATTTCATCACCTCATCTCTGAAATGAAAACTGCTTTATTAAATCGTTATGCATGTTTAGGCATTTCGATTATTTCTCATATCATGACTTAGCCTATCTGTGAATACCAGACTGTGAAGTACACAGCTTCGACAGGTGGCCTGTTGGAATTACTGAACTACCTGAATTCTCATCCAAAACGATACTTCTTACTTTCTCCAGTTCTTATTGCCTTAACCGTTCAAATATGCCTTTGAGTCGCAAATTTTTAACTGGCTTTCAGACAATCGGTGAGCATTTATCGGAGACGAAAGGAAAATATAAAAAGGGAATATTCCCTGATTGAGATAAAATATCCGGCGTCACATGGCTGCTATTTTGCCAAAATATTCTGGTTGACAAAAACATATTATGCGGTTGGTTATGCTGATAATTCCTTACACTGTGTAACATTTTTGTCCGGAATAAAGCTATTATATTTTATTATAATTATGAAATTGAAGTGCGTTTGTGGCACAACGTTAAAGTGACCACTGACCACGCAGGTGGTCCGGGGTTCGATTCCCGACCAACGCACTCCTTTACCTCGCTAAGCCAGTAGTAAGACTGGTAAAGTGGGAAGATTAGGCCTGAGGCTAGCAACCCCATTCTGTAAAAATAATCATCACTGCTACAAAAACTTCAAGTCACTAGCTAGAAGCCCTTTGTTCTACTGGGAACGTAAAGGAATGAAAAAAAATGAAACTGAAGATGTATTCGTCAGTGGATATTCCCAAGAAGTTCAGCGCATCAAAAATCTCTAAAAGTCATTTGAACATGTGAAACAAACTTCATTTGTGTGAAAAAATGATTTTGAGTTATTTAACTTCCTAATACATTCTGGCCTTCTTTTTAAATATTCCAAAAACCAAATCACTGGAAACAGTAACAGGCATCAGCAAACACACTAATGAGTAGTGAGTTACCAACTACAGAACCTTGATGACTAATATATGAGGCGTATTCAAACTGTAACTTAACATTTCATCTTGAGCACAAAGTATTCATGTATTTTAAAGATAAATGAGGAAAGGCATATCATAGTAACGTCGGATTAATTTTAAAGTCTTATTATTCTGACTGAATTAAAAGTAGAGAAGATGCCCAACCAGTTAATTTTTCACTTTACCTTTTAAGATCTTAAAACTGAAATGAAGCGGTAGCACAGAATTATACTATCAGTAAGACAATAAATCAACACTAAAAATGAAAGCACACGGAGACAAGTTTATCTTTCGGAGAGTTTTCCTATTCCATGTGTTGAACAAGTTTCTGTTGAATCCTAATGAAAATCTACTTATAAAACAATATCAGGTCAAACAATATCGCTGGTGATATAATGTCTTAAACTCAGTAGATTAAAAAGTGAGCTGAAACAATTTGTCGAACTTCTTACATACTCTGCTTCTGATCTAAACCTAAACCTCTGATAAATTCCTCAAAGCGAACCATAAATCTCATACAGATAACTTACTGTATTTTTCTTCTGTTTCTGTAATAAGTAGAGCTATAAATACATAGAAATACAACAGCCTCAAATTATTATCCACATTTAAATGTAGAAGCATATTTTCTCAAACTGTCTTTCATATATGTATGTGAATTGTATTGCATAAATCAAGAAGTTTTCTTCTCAATAATTATTAGAGATGAAATATTTCTCAATGACTAGCAGCATAACGTTGAATAATTCAGAGGCACATGACTATAGGTCAGCATCAATGCATCGTTCAAGCATTTTATCAATATTCTTTCTATGTGTTATATATATTTAGAATTACATTACTATCCAGGGAAAGTGGAGGACAATTAATTCTTAATTTAGTTAAAGTTTAAATTAACTTGTTGAAGAGTTGTTTTTTCTCATTCTGAAGAAAACAATAAAGTGTTACTTGTTTTTATTTTAAATGATAAATTATATTTTATGAAAACAAATAATTATTCGTCTGAGAAAATTTGAGTTGATTTGTTTTAATAATATATGGAACTTTTTCGTTTGTATATATACATACAAACTATTTACACGTTGATTTCATTTCATTAACCTTTCGTTTTTACCTATCATGACATTTATTTCTTAAAACCTGTCCTGCAATTCGTTAGTTTTTACATTAGAGAATAAAAGTCAGATGGTATACAAATAAGACAGCAAAATAGTATTTGAGAATATGAGATTCTGTAATAAGACTAATGAATTTTATGGTTAGCCAATGAATACGTGTCATTCTTATTGGTCTACTCTAAACGATGGTTGGTAAATACATTTTCATATAAGTAAAATAATAACACAATAAAAACATAATATTTCTAATTTTTAAAGTGTGTTTGAGTCTTTATTATCATGTAACATAAGCTACAAACCACCATCCTCTATAGTTCTTTATCATGTTTATGCCAAATATATTACACGATTGGTGTTTCGTGTACAGAAGTATATACTACTGATTAGATGTTGACTTTACTTGTTTTGATAAGTTAATTAAAAATTGCCACAATTCAGCAATGTTTTGCTTTGTCAAGTAAATGAGAAATCACATTATTATAGAAAGGATGAAAACTCCTAGTTTCATATTACAGGAATCAGTATTATGAATTGATTATAAGCTCTCTCTTTTCAGTCAAGTATAAAATATGAGAAATATGTGCATCTAATACACAGGTTTCAAAAGCATTTAAGACAAAGGTTTACCTTCTATTTCATATAGTCTACAATTTCAAGCTTTCGCTCTCCAATCGCCCAAAGAAAACAGGATGTTCAGAGTTATTCGTAGTAATCTGCCTTCTGTAGAATCTTTGGTAGATAAAAATGTAATTTTTTAACATTTTTTAGGTAAAATATTATCGCATTTATTTGGAAGACCTACAATGAATACATAAATATGCCTTGGTATTAATTAAAGAAAATTAACGTGTGCCTCATGAGTTACTAAATGAGTGATTGTCTTGAAGTTCTAAGAAGTCTCAGCGATTTGTGACATTCATTTATTAGAGGAAGATAGCAACGAACGTATGACATTGAATATTAGTAGTACCAAAGCATCAAACAGGGTAACTCTAAACTATAGCGACCCAAAACAAAATTATCCAATGACCCTGAGCAACCAGTCAGATGTATCCATAGCATATAGGTGGAATTATGGATGCTGTACACTAATTACGTAGTGGATTTCACCCACATCTAGTATCTAATTAGTGTTTAGACAACAGGCTCATTGGAACGGAGAAAACATGTAGGTGTGAGGGCATGATGCATTCACAAAGATACACTGGCTTCACCGATGGATTTGTGTGTAGGTGCACAGACTGCCAAAGCGGGAAATCCGTTCGAGAAGGTATGTCGTTCTTTTCTATTTGTTTATAGAGGCTGTAGATAGTTTCTTCGCTAAGTCGAAGTTACCTTTAACAAACATTATGATGGTGTATCACAGATGGGTCCTGAAAAGACCAGTCACAGAAAGTATCTTTGGTGCAGTTGCATTGATTCTGCACAGATATAACAGTGGTGTCGGTGTCATTTTTCATTTGGACAAAATAGGGCTTATAAAAAAGAAATATAATTGACGTAGATTGAGTGCCAATCATTAATAGGTTTTGGGATTATAAGACACCAACCTGCGGAAAGAATACATCCAGATGACCTCTGATAGTGGAGATAATGTTTTATTACCTATTATCCAACGTTTTTTCCTACCTGGCGTAACCATTTACACACAGCAATACAATAACCAATAACTTTCATCCCTGGGTTAAATCGGCAATACGGTCAGTCACACAGATGATTTTGTTAGTCCTTTTCATAGAACTCGCACAAATTCCACCGAAATTTTCTGGGGTCACTTAAAAAAGAAGATTAGAACAGCGAATAAGTCAAGAAACATGACGATTTAAAAATTTATGTACGAATTTATGTAGAGAAATTGGTTTGGCCTATCTATGAGGACTCCAATGAGAAATCGGGAAGTTTTCTTGAAACATATACAAGGAAGTTACCCAATGTAACTATTTCTTAACATAACTTGCAAATAAACTTTTTTTCAAACTACGCACTTTAGATTTATCTGACTGGTCGATAGAGATTTCTCAAGGCATAAATTAGGTTGTTTCGTTTTGGGCCTCTGTAGCTTGTGGTTACCGCAAGCAGTAAAGATGCATTGGATTCTAATTCATTAGACAAACGGTAATGTAGTTCATTCGCTAATTTCTTTTAAATACCATGCTATAATATTTACTTTAAATATACGGAGATACTATCCAAATTTTCATTATTTTTTCAGAATTTTGACTTCCTACCACAAATTCGCTCAAGAAAGCCACTCTCGCTGGCTCTATACTGAAGATCAAATAGCTGGCCAGAGAGAATGAGTAACAAAAAATCCAAGGACAAACCAACCAAGAACCGATTAATCAACAAATATATGGGATAAAATCGAGATGTATCGGGCATTCATTGATGAAACCGTCGACTGACGTCGCATGACAGGCCTTCGAGTGGAATCCAAATGGGAAGCGACGAGCGGGTCGTCAGTACTAGAGTGACATGGAGGAGATCGTGTGAGGACGAGATGTGAGATTATGATCAATTGTCTACCCAGATAAAGAGGACGACAGAAAATAGAAGAAAGTGGAGATGTGTTGTTGAAGACCTATGTTCCACTCTGAACGCAAGGGAATAATAATGTTAATAATAAACACTGTTTTCAAGCTCCTTTAGTGCGTTAGCCTAATAATAACTACATTAGCAACAAACAAATTGCGTGCATTTTATTTGTGATGTACGTTTAGTAGCAGAAAACGAATAAATTAATAAACTAAAAGTGTTAGTTATTAAGCTTTTAGAAAAACAAAAACAGTATTTAATAAATTCAAATTATTACTAATTGGGTGGACATGGTTGCATCCTTATAACTAAATAATACTGGAGCTCTATGAGGAGGTTTTTATGTATAATATAAAACTAGATTCATCCAGTGAAAGTGTTTGTGAATATTAAACTCTCCTAGCTAATGTATTTCAGTGAAAAGATGCGACAGCAAAACATAAACTATGACAAAGTTATATGCAAAACTATCTATATCATATTCAATAATGTCTGAACATTTTTGTTTCCCCATAAATGAACGACTGATGGTGCATATCTGATTGGGCTTACAAATCATGTAGCCTGAAGTTATTATGAAAAGATTCTGGAACAAGCATTCAATTTCACTTACAAAGTGATTTCTTAAGACCTTACGCAATCTATATTTTTGTTTTGTTCTCACTCAGTGTGAAATCGTTTTCCACTCAAAACAGCCTTAGGCGATAAGAATTCAGTAATTTTTACATATATATGGGGAATTTGTTAGACTCCACTACTACCAGCTTCGTGAAAAAGTGAACGCTGAAAAACCATGGTAATGACAAATTGAATAGGTGGTTATTAGTGGCAGATTAAACTCCACATTTAACAAAATCGTTTAATACATGCTTTGATTGTTACGAATAAAATAAACTCTGTAAATTGAATGAGTGCTGGTTAGCCAATGTAAGGCACAGTTTCGAAATCATAAATGATCGCTGTTCATTGGTAGGTCTAATTCATCTCTTTCAGTAATCACCTTAATTAGTACAGATAGCTTTTCATTATATCCTAAACTGAATTCCTCTTAGGGAAAAATAACATTAAAATTATCACTAGAGTTTAATCGCTAGGAAATCAAATGTCTCACTGTTTTCATGTTTCTACGCATATTTTACTAAGCCATAAAAAATTTCACTTTTATTATGGCAAAAGTTATACAGTAGTGCTCAAAATGTTGATTATCCTAACAGAATGGCCTCAGTTAAATGGTTTAACAGTTCCCTTTTGTGAATAAACCTGAACACCAGACTTAACTAGAAAAAACAAACATACCACGTAGGACTACAGATATAAAGGAAATTCAAGAAACCTATAAATGGCGTCAGAAATAAACATTTCTATGTATAGCTGGCTTAGTTTAATTTGAACAGAATGCATCTCTACAACTGTAGAAGAAGGCGAAGACCTTAGGAACAGTTAAATGATGCAGTGACATTCACTGATTAATAAAACAGGAGAATCATCGGCAGTACGCACCCACTGGGATTCAAACCCAGGACCTTCCGGTTACAAGGCAAACTCGTATACCATTCAGCCACTGGGACCTGATTCAGTGGCTCATGAATTCTGACTTCTACCAATTCGTGATTTAGCGCGACCCCAACCATTGTCGTTGGTGGGACATCCATCCACACACGTGACATCTAATTGGACCTCACTGGTCACGACTTCTCACTAGGACTCCAGGAAACTCCATCCTGTAGCAAGTTACTAGCGAACATCAGATTAATTTTCTATAGTTTGGTTTGTAAGGATTAGTTATGTTTTTACGAGTTGATCAGGGATTGATATCAGTTAGAGAAGCATTGAAAACCAGGGAGTACTGGACAGCTGCTGTTCCATCCTAGTTTGTGAATCATCGGCAGTACGCACCCACTGGGATTCGAACCCAGGATCTTATACTCGCTAGTGACTTGATACAGGATGGAGTTTCCTGGAGTCCTAGTGAGAAGTCGTGACCAGTGAGGTCCAATTAGATGTCACGTGTGTGGATGGATGTCCCACCAACGACAATGGTTGGGGTCGCGCTAAATCACGAATTGGTAGAAGTCAGAATTCATGAGCCATTGAATCAGGTCCCAGTGGCTGAATGGTATACGAGCTTGCCTTGTAACCGGAAGGTCCTGGGTTTGAATCCCAGTGGGTGCTTACTACCGATGATTCACAAACTAGGATGAAACAGCAGCTGTCCAGTACTCCCTGGTTTTCAATGGTTCTCTAACTGATATCAATCCGTGATCAACTCATAAAAACATAACTAACCCTTACAAACCAAACTATAGAAAAACAGTAGAAACAAATGAGGTTCCTTTCATTAACAAGTAAACCCAATCTAGAAAGCAACTACAAGTACATGAGCTGCTTCAGTAAGAAAAAAACAATTTATTTCTATTTAACATAAAAGCAGAGTAATTAAGTCAACC